TTTTTTCTCAGCTTTTTTCTGACACAAAGTCTTCGCCTTTTTTGCCACCGGCCGCATTTGAGACATGCACACCGAAAGTGCACAGACGACCGCTGTAAGCTGATTGGTTGTGTTTTGCCGACCCCAGAGAGTACGCTGGCGAGTTATGCTCAGGCTAATACACTGTCATCAGTGTTTAAAATGATTCAACTCCCTCTCTCTCCCGCTTTTGCTCTCTCACTCCGTTCATGCTCCTGCAAGCCTCACGTGCGCAGCCGCCCCAGTGCCTACGGGCTCGGCATGGCTGTAAACAGCCATCAGTGTTCCCAGGACGCCCATTGGTTACTAACAGCATTTTGCTCGGACTTCCCCAGCTGGTCGATAGCCAATGTTAACGCACGAAGCGTAGAAGGTAGTGGCTGTCGTAATGCGAATGGCGATTCGCGCGCCTGCACTCTTGCCGTAGTCTGTATTAGGCGCGCGTCAGATTCGTGAGGTAGGCTTTTCTCCCGCTTTCTCTCTTTTTGAGTACCCATTTTTGACGGTAGCGGTGCGGAATCTACGTCTTCCGACCATCATTAAAGTTAATTAGTGTCAAGCAACAAACCGCTCCTAGGCTTTTTTTCCTGGAGCCTTATTTAACTTAAACTGCAAATTTTCATAGCAGAAAGACCTAAATTGGTGCGAGGCTCACCCAGTATTATCTGTTTTAATAAATGGTTCATAGGTCGGACGCAGGCCTTTTATCCGTTATCCGCCAGCATCGTGTAGTTCCGATTTTTTAGGGCGTGATCTTTCCTAGGCGTTTTCTCAATGGGCCAAAATTTACTACTTCTACGGCGAATGCTTAGGAATCCGAGACCTGTTTATGTAGCATGTTTTAGGAGATTCTTCGCCTTCTAACGAGGAAACATTGTGTAACAGAGACACTTTTAAAAACACCATCGTCACTAACCTGCCTTCTAATTTTCTTATCATGCTGTTCTGACATTAGTAGCGACAAACAGGATTTTCTTAAACTTGGGCAATGTTTAAGGGCAAGTAGTTTCGCAAAAAAAACAACAGACCTGTCGGCCCATAAATATGCACTTCAACACAAAGCTTATAAGCAGCAGAGTTATTTGCTGGTTGTTGGATAGGTTTTATATTTGTTCGGTTCGTTGCTAATTTGAAAAAGTTAACTTTACTTCGATGTCTTTTTGTGCCTTACACGGGCCGTTTAACTCTCGCGTATTTTTAATTAAGTGCATGCACCGACACTGCCAATTAAAACTAGCTATAAGCCTAGTATCCAATTTTAGTATTTAACTGCCAGTGAGTCATCTTAATTGCATCCGGGTCGTTGGGTTTCAAGTCTTTTTGATTGCCCATTAAAAGTTGTGCGTGTAAAGGCGGTTTAAAGTATAAATTGCGAGTCGCCTGATTCTAATTTAAAAAAGACAGATCGCCCTCGAAAACAGTTTGGCATCCATGGAAAGCTACTTTCACTGCGTAACTCTATGGGCTTATATGGCAGCCAATGTTAATCTAAAAGCAAACAAAAAAATTAACCGGATGCTCCTTCTACCTCAAATGTATGTCAGCAAATTGCTAACTGCACTATTCAGGCAAAAATAGACTATTTATAGCACACAGATACCAGGTTTAAGCTCAGTCATCCATTTTATCGATTTCATGCCGCTACGTAAGGGATTGGTTAATCATTAGGCCCACCAACTCCTCTCATTCTGGTTTCTTGTAGGCCTTCAGTTCTAGCAACACAACTCCGAATTGTATTGAAAATGACTGTAATGAGTTGGAGTAAAATCTTTAGGATGCGTCGTGTAAGGGCACATCAGCGAAACCCGTGTGTGCGATTTAAGTTATTTACAATACTACTGGTTGCTAGTTAACAGATTACGGATGTTACACGGTTAGTCAGAAGAAGTTAACAAAATGTAACTTGAACAGTAATTTCAACGCGGGAATCAAACTGGAAGACGCTAACCCAAGTTTGCTAATTAATGTTAATGAAGGTGGACGTCAAAAGATCCTTATGTTCACTGCATGTATCCTCAACACCGTGGGGTGATTCCGGAAATAAGGAAAATTTAGCAAGCTAATTCAGGATTCGGTAACCCAAACAATATCGTGCTTAGTATCCAGATTTGAGAAAGTTAAAATGGAACATATGCTTCTACCTCTTACATCCAGTCTCCGTTGGCAGCAGTTTTGTACTAGCCTGTTTTAGAGACTCACGATTTTCTAGGGAAACGGTCATTTCGAAAATTTGTTCAGTGGGACCTTTAAACGCTTTAATAATAAACGTTCTCCTCTATTTAATCAATAACATTTTGTATTCGATCTTCACCGGATTTAAATCGGATGTGATTATTTAAAAAACTGCATTTATTTATATCGACATAAATACTGTGATACATTCTGCTGCTAATAATAAAGCAGACACTAGTGATAATTTCTGGTTTGTTTGCCATCAGAAACTAAACATAGCCACAATGAAGGCGAAAGGGAATTTATTTTCCTACGGGACAGTTTACTTTCATAAGTTAATAATTCTTATGATACCACACTTTCTAACCATAAAAGATATCGCCGAAAATATTAGAAAATTAGAAGAAGTACATTCTTTCTTATGTTGTACACATTTCGCTCCGGTGGGAGAACTAAAGCTTATACATTTTCTCAGAGAATGCTGCCTCGGAGCCATGCAAACTGTCAAAACTGACTTGCTACTTGTGAATATTTATAACTTTGATTAGTAACGTTTTTAAAATTTTTTTGTTGAGTAATAATTTAATGAATGTAACTCTGATCTAGTATGTTTTAGTTCCATAACATGGATCACGACATTTTGTACGATTATCGGAACAATGCTGGAAAGTTTCGTGTTGAGGCTGGTGTCCAGGTGTTTTGGCCAATACTAGCCCGGGGCACACATGCTCCAGCCTGGTCAGTTGTATCTGATTCGTCAGCAGTTTCAACTCAGTTTCGTTCTGGCGAGCGGCTGAAAAATTCCTGTTCTCAGGACAGCTGTCCGAGTATTCTGCTCTCGGGGCCGCATTGCGGTCCACAAGTGCCCCATGTTGCTGCAGGCGGCCTGAGAAAGTTGCAGAGCTCCTCAGCCCCAAATGAAGAACTGGCGAGTACAGAAAGCACGGGCTTCCTACCCGCTGCTGTGATGGACAACACGCGGTACGCCAAGCGGTCCTCCGTTTCACGTCCGGTGCATTTAGAGAATCCGGAGAGGGAGACGCGTTGGTACTTTAAGTACTTCTTGGGGAAAGGTAGGCTTCCAATACTTAAAAATTCCTATATTAGAATGCCCATTTCGGTTATTTCCTTGACAAGGTTTTGTTTTGCA